GTCCTCTGTGCCCACTGTTCCTCTGGTCCTCTGTACCCACTGGTCCTCTGTTCCTACTTTTCCATTGTACTACTAATTCTCTGTGCCCTCTGTTCCTCTGGTCCTCTGTGCCCACTGTTTACTGATCCTCTGTACCCACTCACTTTACCATTCTGCTACACCTATCTGTTAATTATTAGTTATTTCAGAACCCGGTATATGAGAGACTACCCGACTTTCTTCTTCCGACCGTTTGTCACATATAAAGGGAAAAAAAATGTTGCTTCTAAATATACCACTATTTATATATCAACTGACGAAGCAATGTCTTTTCTCATCCAAATTTTTACGAGAAAGTCAAAAGATTTTTCGTGTGGCGGCTAGATCCAGAGAGCAGGGCGCCAATGTGACAAAATGGCAGGGAATGGTCACATGATAACGCAACCTGTTCCAGGAGCATTGCAGACACACTGAACAACCCAACTGGGCGACCCGCAAAGACGCATATTTTTAGCCTTGCATAGATGTGAAGGACGATAAAATCCTAAGCATCTGTCTCTAACATAGCAGCGCAACTCCTGAATGATATACTTAAGCGGCTTTTCCACGACTTAGAGGAATTGCTCGGAGAGGTAAAAGCCTCACTAACAGTAACTTCAACTCACTCTGAAGTAATCTTCCACGGGTATGAAACAAATCATCCTCTAAGTAAGATCACTAGGGTAGAGTGGAAGCTAGTAAGATAATACAGCACAGCGTAATTAATGGATAAAGCGCTACATCTTAGATTAGGACAAAAACATCAATGAGGGCGGCTTTCAGATGAGTGTCACTCCTGGAAAGGCGGCGCATCTTCGAAGAACAACCCATAATCACGAGTAGGAGAAAATTTTGACTAAAACAGACTCTGCACTTTTGTTGTCATGGAGAAAGTAAACGACTTGTTTTCTGCATGACATTATTTTCATCACTGAATGGTTCTTGAACTCAGATCACGAAGGGAAAATGTAACGAAACGTTTCCATAACCTCTCCAACTTAACTTGTAGTCGGATAATCGGTACGCTTGATCAGGTGATTTTTACAAGGCGAAAACCAGCAAGTCAGATAGTAAAAGAATGCTTGATCCGACATGTATACATGTATGTATGTATGTGTATGTATCAAACAGGGCTATTGCTGTGTGTACTTAGACCAGACTTACAGACCATTAGTAATAAAATATAACTGTATTTCAATATCCTGATATTTGGTTACATATACATTACAGATAACAACGTTGTTGATTTTCGTATTTTACAAATGATATATAGTGACAAAAACAAAGAACGATGTTCTCATTTGTAAATAAATACTGACGGTTAATGCTTCCTGTAAAACCATTACCGGCAAAATGATGCTTCATCCGTAACAGAGCTATTCTTAGCTTCCATTTGCCCCCAATAACTGGTCGCAGAGCTATACTACGAACAAATTCGAATTTATAAGATCCAGCCAGATCCAGATCCAACCTTTTTGGTAATAAGTATTTGACGAAACTGCAGTAAAAACACGAGTAATGCAATTACCTGTTTAAATCTCCTCGTGAGCGACGCCGCTTTGCAAGCCTCGTGCGAAATTGCCTTAGACCGGCCTTTGTTATTACTAGTAAGGAATAAGCATGTATTGCTTAAAATACCTAATGCGGACCTGTTGAATGTCAGTTCAGATATAGTCGGATTGAACATTGTTTTTCCTGGCTCTGATACATAAAAGAATAAAGACAATAAAAGGACCAATTTTAAGTTATAAGTAACTTTCAATATAACTGTCTCCCACGTCACTAGGTCATTTAATTTCTTTGGATGCCACTCTCTCGCGATAAAATCAACTGAAAGGTACCGAGCATTGCTTTTAAGTGGTATCCATTATTTCGATGCTTACTATGATAATAATAAAACAACTGGCAAAACTTATCTCTAAGTTGTGGAAAAAATTACTGTCGCATTCCACCATGTATTTTGCCTTAGGAATCAAATTTCACTGGAAAGATAAAGATAATTAAGATAAATTTGAAAAGTCCATCATTTACAGTTCACCGAATTGATGTAAATTACGAAGTGATACTAAATCTTTCATCTTCGCATATCTGCTGTCAGGCTGGTGTTATCACAGCAAGCTTTCATAGACGGAAATCTATTTCCAGTGAGTTTTCATAAGGTCGAAGAATGCGTAAAAAAGAAAACGACTGCAGCTGACTTGTTCAAGCGATTATTTGACATTTTCAGCGTTTTGGTAATAAATTTAACAGCAGGGAAAATCTACGTGCTGATAGCTTTACAAAGAGGTTTAGGGTTCCATTCATATGCAAAGTCATTAATATCTGGTGTATAAGTATTCAAGGCAATTATTTTCATTAAATTGAACAGCTTTAAGAGCATTTCGCATTTCTGTATACAAAATCTTGACGCCTTATTCAAAATTATTCAGCTAAGGTCAGAAGCTTGATCAAAATCTACTTGAAGCATAAGAATATGTCAATTGCCTCGCTTCTCTGAGGCTTTCGTTGAGGAGATAAAGTGCCTCTGATTGGCTGAAGGGAGTCCAGCTTCACCAGACACACTTTCCAAATTTTCTAAGATTGGTTCCTCAAAGTAAGTTTGCTGATCATCGAAAGTGTTACTCGACCCAAAATTCAACCCTTGCTATAAAAAGTACTGCAAAACATCTAAGTGTCACAAACAGAAATAAGCTAAATGTGGTCAAACGTTACGAAACAATATTTCCCACACTGATGAGAAATAATTCTATATTCATTTCAATTCGAAACAGCAAAATTGTTATTATCACTATTATTTCAATTCATTAAAAAATTTTCTCAAAATGTGCACATTGATGTTTCTAAAAGTGCAAGTAGACTTTAATGACCTGGGTGAGAACAATTACTAATCAAACCCCCTGAACCACCCCGACCCACCCAAATTGTAAATATGTTTCATTTTAACTTCTGAAGTGAGAAAATTGAGCTCTCCTTCGGGTAAACGTCTTCTATGCGTAATTCACCAGTGGGGAGCTCAAAACCGAAAAACCAGACAATCAAGTCTACAAGCACCACCATGAATGGTGTATGCACACACTTGTCCCTTAACTTATTATCCTGACAGAATTATCAATCATATTCACAAGTCAGGCATGGAAAATTACATGTACAAAACGGCAAGGAAATGCCAATACTACACAAACCAGAAAACATTTTGCACGGTCAGTCCGCAACTCATTCCCAAGCCAATTCCTTGGCATAATAAATCTTTTGATACAATTTCATAAAAATTAGGTGATACTCAAACCATAGATAGCATAGTTTACCTTGTTCAAATTAGAAAATAAAGTTTTATCTATAATTTAGCATGCTGTTGTATACTGGCTAATTACAATAAGCCACTGTAATTCGACACCTGTGGAGAGAAAAATGAAGGTCTTTGTTAAAATATTTCTACATTCGTCTATATAAAGCCTTAAGGTATCTTAAGAGATACTACATAAACGTATTTGATCCTGCTGGTTAAATCCACATAAAACTTGACAATTAGTTTCCGCTGAAGTGCCTTGCCGACCAAAGTCTACAGAACGGTCATTTAACTAACTTCCCTCGGCTGGAAAGTACTACAAAACTAGAGCCTCGAAGTAAATCGGACGAGAGTTAGTAAATTTACAAGTACAGTTAAATGACCATTTCACTACGACACCATTCATTTGGAAGTGAGTGACCGAAATTTTCCAAGGTAGAAATCTCGCGGCAAAAGATACATAGACACGTCTCAGAGACAACCCTTAACGCCCATGACGCTTATAAAGGTAAGGTACAAAGGAGAAGAGCCAATCATAACGCTCCGTTTGAGGTTTATACGCGACCGCGAAGTAAGTGTTGTTTTCTTTCGATGGTTTTATTCGAGGGTTTAATTCAGCTGAATGAACAGTTTGTTATTGTAAACATGGGACGTTGCTAGCTTAATAATCTATTGATATATCAGCAAGTAGTTCTGGAAACCCAAAAGCATTTTTTCTTCCACCAGCCATTAGACTATCCATTCTTTGGAAATCTTTCAAAACAATTATTTTATCTGTCCAACAATTACTTTTTAGAGGTTTTATGTCGATTTGAGTTCCAGTAAACACTTACTTGTTTACGTGCTAATGTGTATTGTTGTATAATTGCTAAGAAAGGCTATTACTTGTGATCGCTGAACCACCTTCTGAAACGAAAACAGTAACATTTCCAAAGTGCATCACAGACTCAGCATGTCCTACTCTTCTAGCTGAATCTAGATATCAAATTGCTCATAAAATGCGCAATTTATTCATTTAAAATATCAGAGTTAACAGATTTTATAGGTTTTAAGGTAAAGTAGATGCTCTAAACGTAAATTTGATAGAGATACCGCGTTTAAATGAAAGTTCTCTTTATTTTTCCCCTTCACACGAAACTTGGACGACAGGGGGAATCCACCTTCTCTCTGTTAACCCTTTAACTCCCAGACCAAAGTTGTAATTCTCCTTACTGTCAACCATACAGTTCTTACAATGTTGGTTCAGATAATTTGGATCAACTTATTATCCCCAAATTCAGTGATATATTTCTTTATTCTCATTACTTATCTGGTTGATATTGCATTGATATTGTAAGGAAAAATTCTGTCTTGGTCACTCATGGGAGTTGAAGGGTTAAGTGTTTCGTGTTTTACATAGGGGAGTATATTCCCTTCCTTTAGATGCCCACGAAGACACACGAAAAAGTCTACCTCACCCTAACATACTTTTCAATTTCTTGCTCTTCTACTCTCAATCTGTAGCTTACCTGTACTTTTTGTGTCGCCGCCGATTAAGTTGTTTTTTGTATTCTTGGCTGAGGGTTTTGGAGACGAACTCACACTTGACTGGCTCAGCGATGATTCTGAGCCGGACGAATTTTTTCTCGCATTGGCCTCCTTATCTCTGTTCTTGTCTTTGCCTTTATCTCTTTGTTTAAACATCTTCCTCCAAGATTTGGACCGTTTAAAATCGCCGCCATTGCCAAGCTGGAGAGAGTGAAGGAGTTAAGAAGTTAATTTAAGAGGAAATAAATCTAGAGAACTGTGTCGAAATCACACTTATTTCAGTTTACTAGCGGTGCAATTAAGGTTATAACATCTACCATTCAAACAACGATAAAACATATATACTACCTGCAAATCTTTAAAGATAAATCAAGTATTATTGTACAGTGAAAAAAATATATAATGATCTTACTTCATCAACAGTTTCTCTGTCAGTAGCATTCGCCAGTAGCCAGTTGAATTCTCGCTCAAGTATTTGACGAATCTACAAGAAATCATCCAGATTCTGTCAAGTTCAAAGGTACACACTGAAGGCATTCAACGCTTGTTTAAAGTACAGTAAACGAGGCTTGAGAGTGAATGTTCAGCAAATGACGTCATCATGTATGGAGGCTTATTTCAGGCGAGCGAAGGAGCAGGCGTGCGGAAAGAGCGGCGTTCAGGAAAGAAAAATAAAAGGAATATGGAGAGACCTCTCGTCCCGCAGCCATGAAACCACTGTTTACTGGTCACCAGCTCCTTCTCTCGTCACAGAATATTTCCTGATTGGAGCCAGCCACAAGGGAACATGTGTTACCTGAAGATAGCTATATTGCTTAACCTCGCTCTGATTGATCCGGGAAAATCGCAACACCATCTCAACCAGTCAGATTAAAGACTAGAGCCAATCCTTATTTAAACAAACACGTTTTCCTGCGTTTCATACAGTTGGCCAGTTTTTACTTGGAATTGTTATTGGCTGATAATGATGTCAAGCTTTCCTCCCATTGGCTGTTGCGATTACTTTGGTTTTTCGATACTTGAGTGAAAACTGCTCTAAAAAAAACTGTCGTGACTAACAATGATGATTCGCTTTTAGGTTATAACATTATCGAACTGTTATAATGATGACTTTAACATGGAAAATAATTTTGGAAACCAATAAACACAAGCGTACGTTACCTGTGTATTCTGACTGGGTATTTGTAAAGCATAGGCCAAAGTATTACAGTCAAAAGTGTCGTCCAGCGCAATCACTGCTCCATGTACCCCTGTGCCATGTAAGTTATCAGCATACTCAGCTAAGCCAATCTTCTTTAACCAACTTATTAGACGCTCATTGCTCCAAACAAGTACATCTGAGGATAAACACGTTTCCAGTCACATTATTTATGCGGTAACTAATAATCCTCTTCTTCATCATGTTGAAAAACAACCTTATGACTTTTTGAAGAAGTAACTGCTCCTGTTTGTCCAAACTCATACCAAATATATATATATATATATATATATACCTAATAAATAGTAGATTTTTTTCAATGGCAAACCAATTTACCTTTAACCTCATCAGCACACATTTGTCTCCTTTTCTCTAGTAACTGGAAAAAAAAAGATAAAAAAAACTTATTTCAATAAACACAGCAAATATCGCCTGCTTTGCCATCGGCAAGATGTTACTAGGAAAACTTCTGTTATTCACTTTAATTCTAGTATGTTATGCACTCCTACGAGAGTTCTATAAGATGTAATATTTGTCATTCCAGTTCATAGAAGTTTACAAAGCCAATGAAAAACAACGAATTCTACCTCAACACTTACCCTTTTGTCGTAATTCATAAATCCTAAACATTTGACACCACACTGCAAGCTGTGTCTGTAACAAATAATACAGCATAGACAAATCAATCAATCCATCAGTCTGTCAAACAGTCATTCATTCAGTCAGTCACACAATAACTTTTTTAGATCAGATCAAATGACTATTAACTCTTTATTTCCGAACATTACCATGTACTAGATACATTCCCTGGGATGCTGACAAGGAGAATTGGAATAATCAAGAGCTTCTTTAGTTGATCAATTACTGTATTCTCGTGACCTTGGTATGTGTTAAGGGCTGATATTGTAAGGAAAAATTAGATGCTAGTCACTCGTAGGAGTCAGAGGGTGAATAGCGTTTTTTTTCAGTGCAAAGTTGCAATTTATGAATTGGGTTTGAGAACTGTGCAAGCAAATAAAATAATAGCATATTCTTCTTTGAAAACAAAATCTCTAACAGATATGGTGCAAACAAATTCCAAACTTAACAATCAATTTTTGAATCAAGATAAGAAAAATTTAACAGAGAACAAACCTGTGAAAGCCATCAACTACTTTCAAATATTTTTGATATTCTTTCTTGCTTATGTGTTCCAGCATTCGTGCGTCTACTAAACATTCTTGAAAAGTGCCCTGACAAAACAAAATATAGCAAGTGTAATTATAGTTAACTAAATTCACATTTTTCATTGAACTGTAACCTTTATCTTTCATTCTTAAAATAAAATTTTTGGCTAAACTGGCACTCAGATGGTTAGAGCTAATCGGGACAGACCACTCTTCAAAATCTGGGAAGGTCTAGGAACAGAATCCAAATGAGAGAAAAGAGAAAAATATCTAAAAATAAACCTCACCTTGTACTGAGCAAGACCTAAGCTTGGCAGCCATTCATTTGCAACCCAATCATGGTTCATTTCGCCATAAACAAGAGACTAAAAGAAAGAGTATTATAACTTAAGTGCTGCATGATCAACATCACAAGAAGTAAGAAAAGATTTATCACAAATGAATGAACTAAATACATGGTTAAATGAAAGAAAAGATAAAATGAGAAAGGCTGACTAAATCAAGCCTTCTCATTTTATTTTTTCCAAGGATGAGTGTCCTTTGCAGCACTTGTTTGATCTCTTCACATAACATGCCCCTCAGATTCTTCTATTCATTGCTTTACTTTGCTGTAAACTCACATTTCTGTTGGTGGTAGGTGAGGAGGGACTTGTGAGGGTGACAATTTCTTGAATGGAGAGCCGCAACTTAAGTCGATGAAGTGGATTGGATATTCCAATTTCATGTTGAATCTCTGTATCTGACAGAGCCTGAAACAATACCAATCATGATCAGAATTTTATATCACACATATGATTGGAGTTTTGGTACGTCTCTGTTTTGGAATAACCATATGCAGCAAAAATTGAATTGTACCTCAAAATAAATATGTTAAATATGACACATTACCATGAGAAACCATATAAAATATTGAGCAAGCGCAGTATAACAAAAGTTTCTTACCGACATTATGGCTCCACTCTTCACATTTGCTTTACAAGCTGCCACATACCAGGCTGGCATGCCTACCCACAACTATAACAACAAACAACAAATACAAAGGAAAACTTAGAAAATTCAAAACTTCCTCTATCATAGAAAAACATTTAGACTTCTGTCAATGGTCACTTCCACTATGTCACGAAATATTAAAGATATTTTCATCATTACAATTAAACAACAACTCTCCTCCATAAGTCGATTTATTATGTATTCCACTAAATAACTTGTTCCAGATTTGTCAATTAAGGCAATGACAAGATTTCCACAATGCTCTCTTTACTACTATTTAGGTGAAAAAACAGATTCTGGTTCTTTGTTTTAGGCACCATAAGATATAATACTGCAAAGGAAGAAGGATAATCTGAACTAAACTGACCTCTAACCATGCCACAACTGTAGGTGCATTCCACAAAGCAAATGGTGTCCCAGCTTCTAGTGCCTCTGCTAACAAGTGTGATTTATTTTTTATTCGCCTGTCTAACTCACGTTGTCCACTCCCTCCTTGTACAGATTCGTTAGGGAGCGAATAAGAGTCTGTAAGGACACCTGTGCTGTCCTTATTTTTAGTCTTTGTTTTAAAAATTCGTCCAAATGATCCTTTGATCCCTTTCTTGCCTTTGCTGTTCTTTGATAGAGACTCTGCACTGCTTGTGGTGCTTGTTGCACTTGGTAATGAGTCTACTGAGCTGTCCCTGTCACACAGTGAAATGAAATCACATTAACAATTATTTACTTTGCAACACCATGACATATTCTTGTGAATTTAAAATAGGTTTGGCAAAATTTATGAATGCCTAGCCATGACATATTTCCTTAATTGCCACTGGCAGGGAAATTTGTTCACACGAGTAAATCATGTACTCTTACTAATTAAAGTTAAAAGAGGTTCCCTGGCTCGATGCTGAGTCAAGTAATTTTCTTTCTGCAGAATCAGGCCAGGGGTACTGTTCAGGAACAATAGAACTATGTTGACTTAGACCTGGTTAAATCACACTTGAGCAGTCCATGTTTGCAGCTGGAGGTTCTACTTATAATACATTTTCCTTTATTAAGCTTATTGCACTGCTGTAAGAGATGGCTAACCTTAATTTCATCATGCCATTGGTAGATGGAACAGTGCTTGCATGATCATGTAAAGGACTTGAGTTTGCACCACTCTGACTGGGTTTGGAACTCTCTGTAGAATCTGATGTACCTGAACTGGGTGTGGGAGGAGTGGGTGCATCATCTAGGGTGTTGAGTGAACCTTCCTTGCTTGACTTGACCTATGTACACAACAAAAGTTACCACTAATGAACACAGACATTTCAGTAAGTAATGTCTGGAAAGGCTTCCATGTTCACTGCTGTACTCTGGGTTTTATAGCATACTTTGACCCCCTACTCTTAGTCATTCTTTATTGTTAGGGGTCATCAGAAATCTTCAGGTAGTTGAAAAAGAGTACAATTGAAGCCAGGGTTCAAACTTATTAAAATACAAAACATTGAACTTGGCACTCAATACACACTCATATTATGTGCAATGCAGATGTCAAAAAAATGGAGGAGAATCAATCAGCACTAAATTCTGTCAATTCATCAAAGGTTGGAATTAATTCAGGGTTATATATAATAGTAAGCTGACTGGGAACTTTGCCAGAACTGTGCAATGGTTAGCTGGCTGAAATGCAACTATAACCACATGGTGCAACTGAAGAGACAATAAAGACAATAAAGCCACAATTTTTACTCATCATCATCTACATTTTGCGAGCCAAACTTTCAAGACAAACATACACTGTAACTAATTTTCTGTAGCAAACAAGGTTAGAGTACACACCCAGATTGGTGTTGTATCCATTGGATCCAGAGGAGGAAAAGGAAATGATGTAGAGGATGCAACCAACTCCTTTAAAAAAAAGGCAAGAAAAATATTGAAACTGTGAAGTTGACCAGCAAGAGCTAGAAATGACTGAAAAAAATAGCTAGATCCATAGTCTACCAAGCTGACAACAAATTAACAAAATTAGAATGCTAAGTCTCATTAAATTAAAAGATCTTCAGTTAACCTAAACTTTGTGAAGAGGTAAGCACAAGTGATTTCTACCAATTCTCATACATGACACACATTGATATCTACACCAGTTAGAGGGGAGAGTTACCTCACTTCATGCACATTTTTCAACATAAGGAAATATTTAGCAGGAGAAGGAGGCAATGGAGAGAAACAAATATAAACTTCATATAAAAAAATTTTTCACAGCTACCTGGAATTTTTTTTTTTTTTTCAATTTTAATACCACAATGCAGCTCTCTGAGCAAACAGTTAAAATAATGTAAATTTAATCTTTAAGACACTTATAACAATAGTCCTTAATTTCAAATAATTACATACCTGTTGAGAATTAGCTGAATACACATCTTGATGCCTTGGACTCTTTGTTACAGTATTTTCAAGTACAATGGCTCTTCTTTCTGTTGATTTGTGTTCCTCTTGTAATTGACTAAAAAGGTTGTTTCAAAGAAAAAACAACAGTAAATTGCAATAATAAAGAATACAATGCTAAATGTGACAAAATCTATGTATCAAATGGCACCTAGCAATAAGAAAACAACTTACTTGAGTTCCTTGTTAATAATATCTATCTGCTGTTGTAGTAGGGAAGCTAAGGTCTGTGCATCACCACTAACACCTCTTTCTTCTGATATATCACTTCCAGCATCACTTTCAATGTCTGAAAGTTTAGCAGTGTCAAAAGCCATAGCAACATTCTTAAGAACACTTTCCTGTTCCAGTTTCTGCCATTCTTGTTCATTTAGTGTAAAGACCCTACTTGGTGCATCCTCTATTCCTGCGCGACCTTTTGTCTCTCGCCTGATTGGCTCACTAAAGCATCAAACGATAAGTTTGGAAATGTTTAGAGACTTAACCACAACCACACATATGCACTGACATAAAGTTCAATACTATTAGTAACAAAAGACAATTGCAATTGTAATGGTTACATAATTGTTCTCATCAATCACTTAGAATCACATTCATAGTGTCCTTCCCACCAAATCAGGCATGAATATTTTAGAGCCCCAAACTACACCCTAAAGTTCCCTAAATTGTGTTCTGAAAGGGGGACAGGACATGCTAGTTTAGGAAAAGGGAGACTTAACTGCAAAACATCATTTTTGAAACAATAATTTTTTTATTCATAACATTCAGTTGATGCATAGTAACACAGAAAACAGAAGATGATCTAACAGAAATCCTTAAACTTCATTCACAAGGATTCTAAGGATTTCAGAGTCTTATTAGATAGGATTACACATGTACTGTACTTTGCTTATGAATTCATACCTGAACTTTACAACAGGACCATTAACTGCTGCATTGGTAGGACCCTACATGAAACAGAAAGCTGAATCAGTTATTGAAACTTTGATAAGGATGTAGAGGACAACTTGCCCACCACCCACATCTAAGAAAGACATAATTGTTGCTGCAGCACAAGGAACTACAAATATTTCACTCCTGGGAACAATTTTCAAGCTATTGTGCCAAATCAAAAGCGATACATGTATGGCAAAATTAATGCCAAAGCAAGCACAAAGACAACTAATTTACCTTGGATTTAATTTTTTCAAATTCTTCATTCAGTCTTCCAAGTTCTAGAGCTAATATTTCCTTGAGGAAAAAAAAGATTGAAAAAGATGTCAATTTGTTTTTCCTTTGAACTAACTGTAGATAGTAACCTTATAATTACAGCTTGTTAAACCATTTAACTTCCAGAAGTGATCAACATGTAACTTATCCCCATAATATCCAGGATCTTGATCTAACACCAGATTCTCATAACTAACTTACAAGGAAATGTGTAGCAGCTACAAGGGAGAATCAACAATCAGATCTTGGGAGTCAAAGGATTATGTAGAACAACCCTCACAAGAATAAATAATGGCAAAAGATGGCTAACATTGGCATGGAGTACAAGAGGAAAAAAAATTGAGAAACTCAGGTTAACTAAGCATATTTCAATTAACATAAACCAAGTCTTTGTGAACATTTTTTAACACTGGAAACTAACACTATCCAATTGAACTGTATCAACTGCAACAAGACTGTTATTTTCCTTAATCAGTGATTATGGGTTCACCTGTGGTGACATTTCTGGTATTTAAGGTTAAAAAACTGTCTGACTTTAAAATAAAAATTGATTGTAACTTGAAAAGTTAAATCCTTTGATGGTCTTTTTTCTTGTTGGTTACCACCTTTCAACCAACCTTGAGAGATTGCTAACATGAAAATTGTACCCTTACTTCATACCTTTTCTCTTTGAAGATCTTCTACTTGTGATTTCACTGCTGTAAGTTCTTGATTCAAAGCAGTCTGGCAGAAAATTAAGAATAGAAATAGACATATTAGAAAATTGTTAGGAAATACTTGTATGAACCTTCCATTCAAGAATAAGATTTAAGTCAAATTAACAAAATTAATAAAAATCAACAAAGAGTATCTAAAAAAACTGATACAATCATGAGGTTTTCCTATGAAAATCTTGAATAGTTATCCATTATTAGAATGTGCTGAAGTTAAGTGTAATTGAGGGAAATGTAAGCAAAAAAACAATGATCTCTTAAATTCTTAAAACAAAATATTATTGAACAGAGACCAATAACCAAATATCTACCCACAAGCAATGAAGTTAAATAAATGACAAACCTTCTCCTCTAATGCAGTCATGCGCTCCTTAAGGTGCACCTGTAATCTCTCATTAGACTCGCCTAACAGTTTATCAATTGTATTAGACAATCTTGTGTTGTGGTCTTCATTCATCTTTTCTCTTTCACGTGCCTAATATAAAAACAAACTTGACTTTTAACTGTTGATATCACTTCACTACCAGAAGGCTTTTTATCACATTTCTTAGTACCAAATAATTATCCTAGTTGATAGAGGCACCATGGCCAAACCTTGTCCAAGACTGTGACACAGTGACCCCAAACTAGGATCTTGTGGACTTTTTTATTTTATAGTGCCTACATCTAGGTTCATCAAGTGATTTCCTACTACCAAATAACATTCCTGGATGATAGAGGCATCGTGGCTGCATCATGTCCAAGACTGTCACACAGTGACCCTGAACTAAGCTCTTGTGAACTTTTTGATTATTAAATGCTTGGGTTCATTTGAGTGTAAGTTTAGCAGAACCAAGCCTCTATCTGTGAATTTGGTGTGGATCCAGTGGTGACATATCCTTAATAAATTTCCTTAACTGGACTTCACTCTGGCCTTCATAGGATAGGTTTAACAGTATTTAACATTTCAAAATTACCAAATAAAAGCTAGATCAAAACCAGACTTTGTTTCAAAGTGTAGTATCCATATTGAAAAGACAAAGAACTATCACAAAGAATTATTTCTATCAAATTATGTTATGTTGACATTATTAAACATGACCTGTGCAGCCCTTTCCACCCATCTCTTACCCTGTTGAGCTCTGCTTGTAAGTCCTTAACCTGGCTCTGTAGTTGTTGAACAGTCTCTTCAGCTGTGCCTTGTTTCTCTGCAGCCTTGAAACACAACCAAAACTGTGTAATTGGTATCTGGACCAAAGCTCTATGTAGAATACTGATTGCAACTAAAAGTAATTTAAGGTCCTCCTTTGTCTGCCCTTTAAACAACATTTGCCAAAGACAGATTGTATGGTAAAAATAAATCAGGTTACAACAGACCCACTGCTTTTGATTATTCATTCAAATATTATAAGCAACAAAAAATTACATTCAAACTTTTTCCTTACTGTTTTCAATTGTTTGGGCATTTCATTAAAAAATAAGGCTTTCAAGGAATGGAATATTTGGGTAGTTATGTTTCTTTACCATACATGTAGGTGATTGTGACACTTCATTCCTCTAGATTATTGGGCTAAAATGACAAAGAGAATGTGGCCATCTGTATTTCTGAATATAAGTTCCCAACTGCTCTTACTATAAAACTAACAATAAGTTCTCACCTCATTTAAAGCTGCCATTCGAACAGCTAACTCTTCTTCTATTTTGGGTAAAGCTTCAGCTTTTCGTAAAGACTGGTTCAGGTTCTGCTCTGCTAGTTCTAGTTTTTCTTGCTGACACCTTACTTTCTCTTCAGCCTATTGAGTATCAAGTATTGAGTTATTTTAAAAATATACTCAGAGAAAAAAAAGTTGTGTTGCCAATATCAATAGTTAATGTTTCAAATTTTTGTAATTTGTCACACAGCCAAACTGCAAGAAGCACTAGTAGATAACTGTAACTTGTATGAGATGTTTAATTTGCTTCATGAGAGTTGAATGGCAAACAGTAAGAAGAATTACTACTAAGATCTTGGGGGTAAAAGTGTTACATCAGTAAAACTTTAGAAATCTTGACATCACTATCTTTCTACTTTTTCTACCTGGATAAGTTCACTTTCTTTGCTGGCAAGTTCAGTTTCCAGTCTCTCATTATCATCATTCAGTGCAGTGACCTCATGTTGAAGTCGTACATAACGCTTCTCAAGGGTTGCCACTCTATCCTCCATATCTGATTTCTGTGCTGCTGCCTGTTGGGAGACAAATAAATTTAAAATGCATCAGCTTGGCAAGAGAAACAGTGTATTAACAATTACTGAATTCCAGATTGGAAGGAAGGGGTCTGAGCCTGGCTTGTATGAAGGACTTGCTACTCTAAGTCAAGCTCTTTAACCCTTTCTGCTTGAAACTTTGTTTTACTGTAGTCCTTAATTGGAATTCAACATACACCTTTTTCAGATCTCTCAAAAGTTTTTTCCCAATTTGAAAAGCAGCACCTCAAAAGATCATTGTAATTAGTCATTTGTGTCTTTTATTCTAAGTCATTTTGCACGATGACTTTCTAGGCTTTCATATCTGGACAAAACATCAACTGCTTTCCCTATTTTAGATTTAATCCACAGTAATTCATAAACATTTAGATGTATGTGTAACTCTTGACAATTATGTCTTTTGCTATATGCACATAGGTCCAAATGATGTGATAGTGAATGATAGAACATGATTTGTGATGAACCCAAACAATTGGCTTTTAAGTTAACTTGAAAACAAATTCAGAAGAAAGACCATTTCAATGTGTAGATACCTCATCTAAATCTCGTTCTAGTCTTTGAATGGAGGCATTTCCTCTGTCAAGCTGTTTATTACATATTCGTAATTCTTCTTCAAGTGTTGTACATCTCTCTTTCAAGTCCTTGTTTTCTCTTGTGAGCTAAAAACAAAGGAAATTTCAGAACATAAGTAAGCAATGCTTGCAGTCGCATTAAGGATTTTTGAAAAAGCAAATGTTTTGCAAGCTTCAGTTACTTTTTAAAATTAAATTTTGCCTCACAAATTGCTCATTTACATGGAAATACCTAGTCTCTAAAAGGGAGAGCTGCATAGTTCAATTGGATCTTAAAAGTTTAAGGGTTGAAACCCCCATCCTTGTAATTCAGTTTTGGTAATTTACAAAAATCTCATGCCTGAGGATACAGACAGTTGTGAGTAGATTCCACCTACCAGCCAAAAGGGAACTAAGTTAATACTAAAACACAACAGCCATTACCCGCTCCACTTCCTTTGTCCTCTTATCCAAGAGGAACTGCATCTCTTCCATTTGCTCTTCATGTGCAGTCACATCAACACTAACTGGTCCGTTGGAAAGATGCTGCAGAAAACAAAAACTTTTGGCTGTGAAAAACTATGCTGTACAGTAATGCAGTTGTTAATTACATGTACCTGTATTTACAAAAGGGAGATGACAGCAACTAAAAAAAAATAACCAAGTGGAAATAAAAAACAAAGTTGCACTCCTGAAGAAGCCAAATTCTTTGTTTAACTTCATAACCAGAAGATACATTGCATATTTCCTCCAAAAATTATTACTGACAGAAACAATTCAATGAGAGGTTATCAGTAGTTGATTTTCACAACATTTTCATAAAAATTATTCTGTGAAGGGGGTAAATGAATATTGTTTAATCAGTGATGCCACGATAAAGTACCTTTAAATAACAACTTATTTCTTAGAATAAGTCATATTAGAAAAATCAACTAAGACTGAAATGTTAACCTTCTCTCCATTAGAATTCTCGTCCCCATTTTCTAGACAGTTTTCACTTGATGTATGAAGTTTTTCTTCAGTTCTTACTCTTCTAAGATTCCGCAGTCTGATGTCTTCATTTTCTTGTTCAAGCTCTTTGAGCTACAACAAAAACCACAGAGAAATATTCAACATTTGATTGTATAAGGACTGGAAAAGGTTTCTCCTAACTAAAAAGAATAAAAATCTAATTTATTGAATGGAAATGTAACAGTGAGAAATAAATCATTACTTGTCATCTCAAGGTGAAGAAAGATTTGACCTGAGAATACTTTTTCAAAAAATTGAAGGAAAAAAAAGAGAGAGAGAGAGAGAGATATGAAAATTTGCCTCATTCTTAACCAGCAACATGGTGACACAAGTTTGTCCACTCTTTGCAATTTACTTGAGAAGATCTATTCTTCACTCATAATCCACAACCTCTCAAAGAACAGCAAGTATGAAAGAAGATTAAGAAGTCTAATACCTTTTCTCGTGTTTCTTCAAGTTCTGCTTCAAGTGCATTATTTTTGTCTACAGCTTGTCGTAGTCTTTCCCGTACCTATGCAATTATCACCAATTCAATTAGAAGACCACATCACAAGAAAGGTATTAATTATCAATGATATACAAAAACAATCAAAGGGTATTTTTTTGTTGACCAAGAATGAGCAACAAGTAATGGCTGTTCCTTTCAAATATCTGTCCATGTCAACCATAACTCATCACAACTTTCACTATAAGAACATAGAGCTGTGGAAAAACAAGGCCATAATGCAGGGTGAGGCTCCAAAAGTGCTCACAAAATACTTCTTTAATTAACATTCTGTGCAAACATGAAATATTTTTCTGAGTAACACACAGGACACTTATGCTGACCTTTTCATCTAGAGCCTTATGATGTTCAAAGAGAGATTTAAGAGCCTTGAGAACTTCTACTTCTGAAGATACTCCTCCTGTTGTGGCTGCTTGTCGTTTAACAACTGTCATTCTTAGTGATCTTTCATGCCGTGCTACTAGGCATTCTAGATGTTCCAAGAGAAGCTGCAAAAAGTTGGAAAAAAACCCCGAAAATCAAAAAACAAACAAGCAAACAACAAAAAGAAAAACATCAGTCAATCCCTTTCAGAGCAATGTAATTTTTAACACTTGCAGTGTTATATATGTGTCTCTGTTTGCAACCAAGAGAGGCAATAAATTAAATCACCCCAACTGCTTAAACACACTCTGCCTCTGTCACAATGTTACCTCAAACCCATGAATCAGTTTATACTTTTATGTCAGTGAGAAGAACTGACTTGACTTGAATACAAAATTGCACAAATTGTACATTAGACCTTAGAAGGAAATAGCTTTTTTAATTTTAATGCATTTAACTAGTTAAATAATTATCAACAAATCAAAGACAAAAAAAAAAGGATAAAGTCAGTCCATATCCTATCAGTGTGACCCTTGTTAGTGTAACTGTTTGGTAGAAAGCAGAATTACAGCATATTTTAAATTAGTCTCTATCAGGTGAGTTTCAAGGTAATGAGTTCATTTAATATGTCTGTCAGTGCCAGGGTGGTGAAAATTGATAAAGAGAGGAGAGAAAAGATAAGATTTATGTATCAGTTCAATCTGATAATGTTTGTACAGAAAGCACAAGCTGTCAAAGATTGCAAAATTATTCACTGATGTCATTACAACCATGGACAGACATCATAATTCATTTGAAGCTGAATTTAAATTGACAAGGGCGTTATGCCTTTCTTTTATTTCAAAAGGTGGATCTGTCACCCACAAGGGGCAGGGCAGAATATAAGATGCCTGCAATTTCCATAACATTATACTTAGTTTGGGGGTCATAAAAAAGTGAAAAAAAAACAAACGTAAATGCAATATTGTTTACAGAGTTTTCCAAAAGCTTAGGCAGAAAATGGGGGTTACCTTGCCTGTTAATTTCAAATTTATACCCTAGTCTTTTAGGAACTTGACTGTTTGTTTTTATTTTTTTAAGGGGAGGGGGAGGGAGAGGGATAGGGAGAGGGATAGGGATAGGGAGAGGGATAGGGATAGGGAGAGGGAGAGGGAGAGGGAGAGGGAGCACTTAAAAACCACCAATATCCTATCACAGTTGCATGACAGTACCACACCCTCCCTTTCAAGAACTTAGAGGACCATTGTTTACGCATCATTGATTTACAATTAACTTCTTTGAAACTACTTCTGGCACAATGATTGTGATTGATGATATACAAATGAAAGAAGGGGAATAAAAAACACCTGGCGCAACCCTTTTTAATGGACCCAAAAACCTAACAGACCACACAAAATACCACAGAGATTTTTTAAATTCCTTTTAGCTGACAAAATGAGATACTTAGCAAATTGAATCATGTTAGTATTCAATACTATTTATAGAAAAAAATTAAACATTGTGTTTATTTTCTGTGTTCAACCTGAAAAAGGGGGGGGGGGAGGGGCAAGGAGGAGGAGGAAGAGGAGGAGGAGGAGGAGAAGGCAAATATCTGTAGGAAGGAAGTAGGTAAGTATGGGAAGTAATAAAGAACCCTTAGCTATAAAGGATTTTGAAAACTAGTGAGAATAACTCTGACAGGATGTGTAAATTTGTATTGACTAAATCAAAGTAGGTCTTATAAGGGCAAATTGATGGAGTGGGTCAGATAAAGGGAGATAGGTGGTGGAGGAGATAATTAAATGAGGGGGCTGAGAAACGAAAGGAGCTGACTGTGAGGGAGGTAATCAAAGGGTGATTACTATTTGAATGACTATGGTAAATTCTGTCCGTGGGAGTTTTTAAGCTTGCATTGTCCTCATGGAGCAATTTAACCCCTTTAGGATTTCGGATGTAATTAACCTGTAAGGTCTCCAAGTGTTTTCAATACTTTAGCCCTGGGTTAAATTTTGATAAAACACAAAATCTATGGTACAAGGGAATGTAAAACAGAGAGACAGGATGTTTACCATTTTGATATACATGCAAAGGGGTAAAGAGTTGTCGAGCACTGACAAATACTCACTCTTGTATTACATCTCTCAGACTTCAGTTCACTGATCTCCTCATCCTTTTCTAAAAGTTGTTCCCTGGCTTGGTTTAGCTCCTTCAGCATTGTTGCAAAGTCCTACATCACAAAAAATCCTGATTTAGTCTGTACTGAGGCAAAAGACACACCACAAACTTGATCTTTGTATAGGCAGTTTAAAAACTAGAACATTTCTAAAAATTCAAGCCACAAAAGCTATCATCTGCATATCTGCTTTGCATAAATGCTTGGACATTTAAGTAAGAAATGAATGAAGCTTAAGAATTTTTAACAGCAGTTTGACTAAATTAGAGTAATTGCTTTTCAGAAATGAACACGAACTATGCCTTGAGACAACATATAATTTTATTTAATAAGTGTGCATAATGCACAACAATATTGTGGTGTGTAAACAGACCAAAATAGGGTAAAACTCAGTTTGATCAAAACACTTGAATAAAGAAAGAAGCTCTTGACCTTGAGTCATAGTAATCTTTCTCGAGCAGAACTAGTACATAGCCTTCATATTTCTGAAAACCTGTCTCTGTTCAGTTTGGGTTCCATTATAACAAGCTATCTGCTTGATTTTGAAATTTCACAACAACTACATCCCACAATGTACTTCCTATACAATGATCAGTAAAATTTTATTGTGTGCTTGTAGCTTTGGATCAAAATTTATAAATTGTATTAGTTTTATCCATACATACTATCAATTGGAGACATTGCAAACATCTTTAAAAAAAATGTTGAACCTTGAAAAACTATTTCGCATACACAAGATGTCTATTCAAGTGTGTTTTTTGCCTATTGATGGGCATACTTGTACACTGTATATTCAAAAACAAAAACACAACTTGAGATGTCAACAGTGATGTGAATGTTGTTATTTAGGATACCAACTTCAATCCATAATAAATTTAAAGTGAAGTGTCTCCGGCAATTTTAATAACTGCAATCCCTACGACAATACGCTTTAGAGCAATATTTTTTATCAACACTGATTGCCCACAACTTCCAAATATAACCGTAAATGGCTGACACAAACCTAGGAAAATATTTGCCAGGAAAATAAAACAAATAATATTCTTTGTTTAATCAATGTGCAAGTAATTAAATGCCTTGGACAGGGCGTGAAATTAATTTTTTTTTCTGATAGCCACTTGGCTCCTAAATTTTTTAAAGTGGTAGCCAATTCAAAAAAAGTTGATCGCCATTTTTAGAGACAAAAAACCCTTTCTCTTTTTACGCTATCAGAGTTCTAGATAAACCCTCCAAAATTAAGTTCTACAAAGTTCTACAAAGTGGACACTAGGATGGATGATATAAAAACTTCAAGCTCACCTAAATCCAAGATGGCAACTAGTTTTCGATCTAACTTAACAAGGAAGTTTGCTGCGGATTTATCTTTCCAAATCTTTTTAATTCACTACATCTCTAGGTATGGCTATGATTCTAGTCGCCAATTTGGCGACTACTTTTCAGGATTTGGTCACCAAAGTGAAAAATTTAGTCGTACTGGCACCTGTATTAGGCGTAATTTCACGCCCTGTTGGATGGAAAAGGAAGGTAGGAAATAGAGAAGCCTCTTAAAGATATACAACCACAAGACTCTTAACAAAAACATTTATTCAAACAAAAGTATATCATCTTGGTTTATATGTTTTTCAATACAACTCAGTTGAACATTTGTAGCAAAACCAGAGAGACATCTAAGAGCAAACCTTTTCCAGAAAGAGATGTCAGCCAACTGCTTTTGACTTCTTTAAAACCAACACTTCTCAAATTTTGAGCTTATGGAATTGTGCAATAAACCAGGGTCTTCTTTACAAATGGATTAATTTACCATGGTTCTACCATATCCAATTGGTAACTTATACAAGGCAGTTTTTCTACAATAAGCAGTCTGTGAAAATATCTCTACCCAAGGGAAGATACCTCTGTGACAAATCAGTTATTACAGAATCTTCATTGGATTGTTTTGAACTATTATTTGACCCTTGAAACCTCAAAATAACTTTGTTTTAATGGTTATTAAAATAAAGGTTTTCTTTTCTTCTTCCTGTTCTTGGTACACTCTTAAGGTTATTTCAAGTTAAAATATCTGCTTACTGAGTTAACTGCTAAGCCAAATTCATTTGTTGTCTTGGTCACATTTTGATTTCAATCTATTACTTTGTCATGAAAAGGTTACCACTCTTTAAAGAAACATTTATCAAACAGGATTAATCCAGGCTTCGCATAACCACAAACTTGAACAATGATTGAATTCATTATTGCATTTGAATCAGTAATTAACTACAAAAGTTTACATTTTACTGGTATTTGAGAAAAAAAAAATATATATATCTAGTGTTTGTCCAAATGAACAAAATTAATTTAAGACCCACAAAAGTAAAAAAAGTAATGAATTAAAAATCAATTATTCTGCACTGATGGCATAATCTAAATGTTATAATGACAATATTTCAAGTCTGTCTGTTAGCTTGTTGAAAACGTGACACTAAGTTTAAACTACAATGGTTATATTTCTGCTTCCCGGTCAAACTGTTTTTTTTTTTTAACTCCAATTTGTCAAAACTGTATGTACCATTTTGTTTACCATTTAAGTTAAACTCAACAAAGGGCTTCAATTTAAAATAAATTCTATGTATTAAGAAGAAATTTTACTTAAATTTTAAACACGAAAAACAAAGATTAAGAGAACACATTCAATTTGGAATCAAATCAAGAAATACCACAAAAAAAAATAGGTTCTGAAGACGTCAATCTTAATACCACAACAACTGAGTTAATTTTTTAAGCTTGTTATGTTATTGGTGAGCTCACAGCTTTATTAAAAAGCTCAATACACAAAATATGCACTTCGATCAAATTAATTACATTTTAGCTGCAGATTTGAAGAAATTATTAATATCCTTAATCCTGAGCACAAAAGAACATAAAATTGCCTTGCAATTAAGACAAATGTGATTCCAAGAAAGGTTTGAACTTCATATTGTTGAGTGAGTTTATACCCTTCCTTGAGATAAGTGCAAGTACTGTACAAAATGAAGCGCAGAAACCATTTGGCTTTAAAAGAGACAACGAATTCACCTAATACCAAAAAAAAAATTTGAAATCCACACCGTGACCTCACAACATTTATTTACATATCAACAAAATTTCTGTTTGCCCCTTACAAGGTAGGACGTATATTAAATTTCTGTTTGTCCGTGGCAAGGTAACAGCAAGTGATACCAAGCAAATTGGAATTCTCTTATCACTCGTTATCATCACTTTATCAACGAGCGTGCAATAGAAGACGGGACTGAACGTCTTGGATTACGTATATAGCTTTCGACAGCTTTACATATCTGCAACATTTCGGCACCGCTTAACATGCACAAACTCAACAATCACCGATCATGCATTTATTCTCATGCAAATCAAACTAAAGGGTTTCGTAAACACGCTACTGTCTAAAACAAAAAGGTTACTATCAACCGCGAGACGTTTATCACAAAGAATAATAGTTGTATAAAGGGTCATTCCTAAATATCGTGACATGCGAGCCACGAAAGAAATTACTACACAACACATTCAAGTGCTAGACTTCTCCGAGGCTCGAGGATCTTTACAATACAGAGTTTGTCAGCTGAGGGTTAAAAGGCAAACAGTGCCAGCTTTGAGCAAAACAGCGATTAAATTCCACGGCAAATTACAGTTGATTGATAAGTCATGATCAGTGCTATTAAAATTCAGCGATCCAAAACCTAGTGAAAAGTGTAGTATACCACATAGTGATCAAGTCACCGGAAATACACACTAAGGTACTTTTAAGAAACGAAAAAGACGAGGGAAAAACTATTTAAGGTTCCAAACTGGTTCAAGCTGAGAGAGGTGTTATCAAGCAAATGGAAACGTTATTATGACAACATGGTTCATCGCCGAAATGCAGAGCAAACAATATGACACAAGCCATCAAGCGAACGAAGTCACCTTATAAAAGCATTCTTTAAGAATTTTTCCACCGCGAAAACACGACATTCATCTGTTTTCTAGTGAGCGCTATGGAAAGCGTTCTGAATGATCACAGATATTCATTCATGCAAAACAAACAAGGCAGAAAGGAACTCTGTTATTTCTAACTCAAATAGAGACGAATTAGCGATGCAATATTTGAGATATCAAATGTATTTAATATTCGACACATTGAATTAACGTAAACGAAACAAATGGGGCTAAAAGTAGGAGACAACTGTTTTCGAAAGAAATGCGTAGGCTTCTATTTCTAAAATTCTGAGTAAATTCTTAATTTAAAGATCACGGATTGGACAAAGGTTCCCCACAGTATTGTTTACAAACACCTTGCACCAAAAGCATAACTCGCTTTCTGCTAAAAAGATTCTATAAGGGAAATTATTCCAAAGAAAGCCAAGGAATTGCTAATTAAAATAATACATGCACCTTTTGGCGATGCGATTAAAGCAAATCGCTCAGGCCTGCAGAACCAAGGCTGTGCAGAAAAACAAACTTTCTTGCACTTACCTCAGCTAGGACTCGAACTCGATTCTTTTTGCCAGATTCTTCTTTCAAATTATTGCCCGACTCCGTAATAATCCCATCTAGACCAGCTAGTCTTTCAATTAGTTGATCATCACCCTGCAAATAAAAAACGTTCAACCGGATAAGATCAGAAATCGTTTTACACACGTGTGAGATCCTGTAAGATAGTTCTCAAGACAGATTTAATTTGGCAAGGTAGAAAACGAGAACGTATCGAAAAACATAAATATGCATGACTTTGGTGGAATATAACATAAACTCATCGGTAAATTATAAGTTCACGAGCCACAAACTGGCGTTATCACCTCGTTGGTTGACTCTGGTACTTCACACTATAAAGAAACAGGCATTCTTGCTCACACTGTTGAGGAATGCGAACTTCATTCGGCACACGACAATCAAAAGATTCTTGTCGTATTCTGGAATTTTATTTTCGTTCGATTAAACCTACAGATTAGGCTAACGCTGTTGCTAGTCGAAAGGGTTTCTTGTTGAAATACTCCACAGACACTTCTTGGTGTAGAATAATACCCGTGTGCTCTGAGTGAGTAAACACTCGCTACATGAAATGACACTCAATTACAGATCAAATATGGCGTATTTGAGTTAGCCAAACGAATGAATGGCCTAACCTCAGACCGGTAGAATAGCGATTAAAATAGAGGTAAAAGTCTCCCTTACATCATTTAGCACAGTTTCCAAGTGACTCATCAGACCATCCTTCTCTTTTTGACATTCTGTTAACTTTGCTCTTGTGAGCCCCAGCGAATCTTGAGTTTCGCGAAGAGTTTCCATCAGCTTGTCCCGTTCGTCGAGCATATTAACCATAAGTTGCTCGAAGTTTGTCTCCTCATTTTGCCCATACTGAATCTCTGGCGGGTCCTCAGAGATCGTAGGCATTATATCGCACATCATTTTGGCGACAGAACGAAACGCTGAATCTCGGAGAAAACCAGATCAAGTGAATGAACTATTTGACGTACAATTACATGGCCGCAAGGGGTAACCGGCGAATACTTCCTCTAGCTAGCGCGCAAACGGGCGATGGAATCTGTTTTCCGCGCATTCTTCAGCCATCTTGCGAGCTGTGGATGCCTTGCACTTATTTGCAGCTCTTTTTAGGGCGGTGCAGAAGCTCGAGAGATGGTTAATCGCTTTTCTGGACGTAATTCAGTCGACAATCGCAAAAGAACAAGATACATACACACAGCTCAGAGAGCAACTTGCAGTATATCCCATTAGGCCACGCGCGCTTGGCGTGTTCCAGCCACCTGTCAGAACTTCACAACAGAGGAAGACAAATTTTCGTGGGTTTGAAAAAATTCGGCCCACACAAAAACACTTGAATATCTTAGATTTTAAAAGTCGTGAAAGAGTTCATATGCGTAGCTTAAGAGATTCCTGATAAACAACATATTTCAATCCGTGTGGTGGCCGCGAAAAGATTAAATTTTTGACACTCGCCTAAAGTAAGTTGCGTTGTGTTTATTTCAGCATATTGTTCGCGCGGGATATTGTTTTAACGATATTGTTTGAGGAAAATGAAATATCCTAACCTTAACGTTCGATATCAGAATTGAACAAAATTTTTATCGAAGGAGAAAAATGATTGATTGGAAGAGAGTGGGCCAACTTCAAAAACTCATGGTGTATAAATTGAATAGTTACGGTGTTGTTATTTATTTCGAGTTTACGCATACAATTTTCGGAAGGAAAGTAATCAATTTTAGCACATTCCACAAATATCAAAGGTTTTCGTGTATCCCGTAATGACTTTTCCATATGAATAATTATGCAATTACTTAACGATAAAATGTGAGCTGAAAACCGGCTTCAGCAATTACGGAGAAAAAAAAAACTTTTATCTTGCGGGATTTCACGGGATACTTCTATCTCGCGCGTCGGCAAAAATGAGACAGCCAGACACTCGTCTAGAGAACACTTGATGTAAATCAACACTTACTCATTATTACCATTCACTTAGCGAGCTTTTCTTTTGTTTAACACCCAAGGGAAGAGGACGTCTGCAGTACTGGACAACTAGGCCTACTGGCTTAGTTTGCGGAAGGTGAAATACGAAAACACAGCTCAGTTGATCGCCACTGAAAAAGCGATTTACGACACATTTCTTATCATGTTCAGCTTGTACGTTGCGAAATCCCTATTAATCAAGTGTTAAAATAACTTACTAACCTTGGGGAAAAATAAGATAAAGTAGGCTATTCTAGACAAAACATGCGATAAAATCAGGATTGAAAGGAGATGTCAAGCCCTCGCTTGATCTGAAGTTTCTTCCCTTTTTTTTTTTTGAAATTTCACTGGATCAGTAAAAATTATTTATCACCAGTGGTTTTGAATTCATAAAATATAAATGCACTCAAGAATTAACTGCAAGAAAATTGTCATTTCTCCCGAGACTTAATTGTTTTCATTTTAACCCGTGTAAATTTTGATTGATCACTCGACTTTCGAAAAGAATCGAAAGCTGATAAAAGATATTTTGCCTTCGTTTTATGCTATTGATCTCGATAAATCTCTCACGAATTGCTGTCAAAAATGAAATTAACGGTGCACCGCTACCTATACTATTTTAAACTTTAAATCGTCTTTCCCAACTTATCTACATTTTGCATTCAAGATACATCAGCCATTTATAAAAATGCATTTTTGCGGCCATGATTATTAGTTCTCATGGGCAAATATAGTGTTTAGCAGTTGCGACCATAAGGAGAACCGGTCAGAAAGGCGGCGGAACGTGGGTGGTTTATCATAAACCATGCCATTGATTGCACACCCTTGCTCAAATTTCCAATTGGCATCAGGAAACCTTTACTCAATCATGACTATGTCTGTGTCCGTGATTGATTTGCGACAATGCATTAATAGATCTTTGTTCCGCCATGTGCGACCTTATTGTAACAATTCATAAAAAAAAATAATAATAATAAAGAATAATAACAAAAAAAATTACGCAACTGAATACGTCGCTTGCGGAAATTTTCTTCGGGGGAGGGGAGGGGGTGTTCCTTCAATTTTTCATGACTTCTCTTGGGTTATTAAATTTCGACCCAATAACTAAAATAATTTAGTCAAAATAGCACAGAAGAATTGTCAAATGGTTGTTGAGTACAACTTATTAAACTGGTAAATTATTTCTCCGTGGAAGTCAGTAAAACAACAAACGCCAACTTATTTCCTTGTTAAGCCTTGAACGCCAATCTAATTGTAGTTGATAGAACTTCTTATTAGAAACACGTCTCCTTGTTCGAAATTGGAGTGAACGTTTTCGACGATAGAGGTGCTAACAGTTGTTATATATTTCAATCTACACTGCTGAGGGAACCTTGTCAAGGAAAAACTTTTCAAGAAAACGTCGCTCCTTAAAGGGGCTCGTTCCATTGATATATTTATATCACATCATTCAGTTGCCGGAAATTTTCTTTTAATGTAACCTTTACCTATCCTAGATCTGTACCTCAATTGCAGCAAAACACACGTGTAATAAATCTAAAAATTGCAGAGCGAATGTGAATTTGGAATGTGTTAGAATGGAATTTCTATTACAGCAATACGATCGTTAACCAATTCACTTTGAAATTATTAAGACAGTGATTGCTTGAAACGAGATACCAAAGGAACAGAACAGGTGGAGAAAGGTTAGTAGAGTGGGAGAGGTTGTGATATCTTCCGAGGTGGAGTACCATGACCTACAAGGGAAAGTACTCTTCCCCAAATTTTACGAGAACGCAAACTAAAAGCAAAATTTTGGGAAATGAGTCAACCAAATCCATTTTCGTTGGAAAAGGTGGATGATATTCTTTGCAAACACTTTAGCTGGCTCCGATCCCTTTCTTTTGACTGTTGCCGAGCGAAAGGACCAGGAAGTTGGAAACTGGAATTGAATTATTTCTGCAGATGTAACTGTCAAGGAAATTGGAGTTTTAAATGCAGAAGATTTATTCACGCTTGGTGTGTCTTATAACCACTGTAGTTCAGTGGTGTTGGTCGAAACTAACGATGGCACTGCTGCGACTTTGGTGTTGGTCTAGGTTCCACACCGCGGCCACACACAGGCACAGTCTCCATGAAGACTGTTCAAGTACGCACACGTGCGAAATAGATTACGTTTGGCTGTCACTGTTCGGAGACAGATAAGTATTACGTTGATTCACCGAATCATTCAAAAATCTAGTAATATGCTTAAGTATAAAAGAAACATACAAACAATTAAAAACCTGTACTATGCAGCTTCATACGGAGATGGTTATTTCCTCAACGGTCAAATTACTGCGTTAGGCGCAAGCAGGCAGACTGAGCTTTTATGAGACTGTCTCTTCTTGGTTTTTTTTTTCGTTTTCAGTGAATTCAGCTTTTTTGAACGGCTCACTCTTAGAATCTTTAGGTGCATTAGTATAGGGAGGCGAGGGTTCCAGTTTAAGGGGGACCTTTTGCCGATTTCTTCTGTCAAATCCAGGATCATTGAGGCGTCTAAGAATAATGCTTTGAAGGATTCAAAAGAAACTGTGCTCGCTCCCTACAGAAGGTAAGATTATATGCCATGCGAATCTCTGTACTGTAACGAGTGCAAACCCTCTTTCTTCGTATCTGAAACCGGAGGGTAAAAGAGCAAGCTTGTTTATTTAATGAAAAGACGTTCACTTTAACACACCTTTATTTACACTGTCACCGCACACAAAAACAAAAATATATACAATATTCCAATAAATTGGAATCTCGCAAATTTTCCCTTCCGGAAGTTAAAAAAGTTCGTCATTCAGCAGTCAAGCGTAATCGGCTAGTGCACAAAAGCACTCCAAGTGAACAGGAGAGCATCTGTAACGCACAAGACTTGTTGTTGTTTTTGTTGTTTCGTTGTTGTTAACAAGTCCATATCCGAAACTCACTGATTTCTCCAATACTTCCATTTTACAAGTTCTCTTAACTGTTTCTGTTACTCTTGGGAAGGTTTGAGTCTTCGTTTCTGCAAGGCAGCAGCTGCTGTGCCTGGCCTCTGTCCCAGAAATGGTGGGTCAGGAAGTTTGCGGGAGGGTCTTATGTTATCTTTCGTTGGCGGCACATTCCTGAGATATAAGAGTAGCAAGGAATCTAAATGCGCGCTAGATAATAACTTTCTCAGACATGTAACACTGCTTTTGCCGATTAAAATTCTCTACTGTATTGATGAGAATTTCCATGCGTTGAAAGTAAAACAAATCATGCCTGTTTAAATGTGGTTCTATTTTTGGATTTTGTCGATGAAGAATCGATTGATCCCTTCCGCATATCTACTAGTACGACCAATATTGACCTTATAATGTTGCTTGTTCAATCTTGAACATCACAAAACATGTCTTGTTGACTGAACAATTTCACTGTCCTACCTGGGACGACGGTTGATTCGCACAGGCGCAGAGGACGAGCGTGGTTCCGTGTCTTCCTCTGCTGGTAGCGCCTGAGAGGATCTGCTATCTAGAGACGCCGATGATAAGTTTTTGTCAACTTCAAAACTCTCGTCTCCATGCAGAGTTCGCAGTCTCAGTTGGTTTACACTAGTCTCACCGGAAAGCTGTCGGAATCTGGGGCGCAAACAGCGTGAATTAGCCATGTTTTAGCCTTAATATGACTGGGAGATATGGAGGAATGAAGAAAAATCCGACTTGTGTAAGGACTGAAGAGCACTATGGATGGGGTATGGTTTATGAGACACTTACATTCAAACGGTGAAAGTTTCTCAGTTTGAGTGACAACCAGCCATACAAAACAAAAGGCTAACTTTTATATTGCAATGCTCTTACAGACCCTGAAAATATTTGAGAAGCCGGAGAAAAGGAATAAAGGCCAAACGCTGAAAAACAAGATACAAGAGCATATTACCTTCGCATCCTGAAATCTGCTGCTGTGTTGGGTCTGCTTAAAATTTCCCTTCCGACTAAGGGGGGATTAGGTAGTGAACGGCGTAAGGCAGAAGGACTTCCTGGGGGGCGAGAGGGAGGGGAGGGAGAGAAGGCGCGTGTGGCGGGGGGATCCATTGAGGGCGAGGTTTTTGGTAACTCACTGAAAGAAAGAAAAAGGCTTAATTACATTTCCTCTTCTCCTCCGCTTTAGCAATAGTTTAACTAATCTGCGATACTAAACAGAACAAAGTGTTACAAAAAGCATCAATCATCCACTAAACAATCAACTGAACCCTTGAAGGGGGAGGTGAAGGGAATGCTGCGTCTCGGTTTAACTATCTTGGAAGAATTTGCCACATTTTCAAGTTTTTCATTTTCAATCTGTGTCCATATTCTCCAGTTTTCTCTCGCCTCCTTCCTTCTTTGTGTTTTATCACCTTTTAAACTTTTTTACTTTATTTGAGTGACAGTTACAAGTTAAAACGGAAAAAAAACCAAAACAAAAAGCAAAAAACAATAGCGAGTAACTCCTTTGAGCTGCTTACGCTGCCATAAATAGCTCCTGTCAAAATCAATTGGTGGAAAAAAAAAAAACTCAAACAATCACTACACGGCAACTTAAGTTCAAATTTTTCCCATTCTTTTGGTGAGGAAGGAATGGGAACTTCTTTGTGGGATGAATAACAATAACAAGTCTTTGATATTCACTTCAATCGAGACAGCATTCAATTCAACTCACCTATCGAGTGCTCCGCTATTTGTGATTGTGCTTCTTTCCTCATGTAACATCCTAAATGTACAAGAAATTTCGATAAAAATGTAAGTGACATGCATCGCTCAAACAAAAATAGTGCGACAAACACACTCTTCACCCGCCCACCCACCCATACAAGATTTAGTTCGAGTGGATGGTATGCTAAATTGAGCCATAAAAAATCTCTTAACGCCTAAATGTAATAATTGCGGTCAGAACAGGAAGCAGTTTGGGCGTTTAGCTTATCTAGTTGTTTTCAAAGCGGAGGGGTAAAGTTGTTCAAAATTACTCCGCGTTTGTATTCAAAATGTAATTATAAACAAATTTACATGGAAGGGGATGCCGCTATCGTTGAAAGAGCTAGGTTATCGCTAGTTCATCTCAAAGAACTAAACCTATATTTGGTAAATTCGCCATCTGTTATCTACGCAAATCGTTTTTTTCCTTTCACTATTTTACCGCTGGGAAGTTTGTCTACCCACAAAAAATAATCCTCCAAGATTTCCTTCTCAAAACTTTGTAAGTCGCTTGACCGAGCAGCTACGCATTTTCCTTACTTAATTGACGAGCGAGAAAAAACGTGGGTCATAGAAACACACTAAGCCAAGCTCATAATAAACACTTAACGAGAATTATTTATGCCTCGGAGAAAAAAAAACATATGGCAAGACATCAATTCAAAAGTACGGTAACCAACGCTAAACGGAATGGGAAAAGGGGAAGATTTCGAGTCGTTTATGATATTTGCTGTTCCATTTGCCATTTTTTAAATGTACTTCATGAAGATAGCTGATTAAGGTACAATTTTCCTGTCAGTAGTTTAATATCTCATATTCTCATACAACATCGCACTAATTCAAATGTCTCTAAATATGATCATTTAGAGATTGCAGTCTCTTTGTTAATAGCAGTGACATTGGCCTGATATTTTAGGGACATAACATCTAAAACAGTCTATTAGGGAGATGGAGTTTCCCTTTGATGAATTTTTGAGGAGGGTCTCTTTCTTAAGCAAGCGCTTTCCAAACCAGACGACAGTGACGCAAATTTGTGTCAAAATTGGCGATTAAGACGATGCAAACAACACCACCTGTTTCGACTAAAAGTACTGACGTATGCGGGTTACTGATGTGAAAAATTGGAATATATGACGTGCCTTTGGAGTTTCGAAGTTTGGTATTGCAAACAAAAGGTTCCAAAACAAATTTCAATCCCTCTTGTCAACCCGAGTATCTACAAACTAGACGACTCATAAAATTTGTTTACATTTGAAACAAAAGAGGTATGGAAGGAATGGAGTTTGTATGATGGGTTTCATGATTGGGTTTTTCTCTCTAGTTATTCAAGATATGTATACAAAGTCAATATGGTTTCAATATTCTTTAAAAAAAAGATTAAAAAAACCAACCAAAAAAAGGACTAACACACTTTCCAGTTGCAAACGTTTGACATCACGATGACTATAGATCAAATGACTGTTGGGCTAACACAAAAAATTATTTCCAGAGCTATCATGTACAATATTATTATCCTCTCAAAACTAGGGACTGTTTAATCTAATCTTCATCTCTAGGAAATTTTGAGAGTCGTCTGAAAGGTATGAGAAAATTCTAAAATGAGCTATTGTTGTCGACGTTTCCGAATCAATCACGTGACCCAGAGATGCGGCAAAATGGGTTTAAAGTTTGACTGAACAGGCAAACCACCCGTGAATAAACATAATCGTGACTTTACCCTTAAAACTACACTATAAGTTCGAAGCCGAGATGTTAACATGTCGGTAAATTGCCTGTTTCATCAAAGAGTTACACGCATGGCTGGTTCCCAATCAAAACCGGAAATTTTCTTTAAGTCCGCCCACAGCACATGTAAGTTCTAATAGTTAAATTGCTTCGCTTGATTAATATCGCTCCGAGCTGAAACCTGACAAACAAAGTTTCTTGCTAGCGGGCTTAAAACGGGTCAGGGTGGTAGGATATTACGCCAGTGTATCAGTAATTGCACTCAAATATTTGCTGTGTCACTGTATGTCTTAATCATCTCATTTCCGAGATCTGCCGGCAAGTTTCCTTTAATGATATCCACACAAGGCATTTCTTTTCCAGTGTTTCCATCAAAGAAATATCTTCTAATAAATAATTTCCTTCCTTCTTATTTCCCGTGTGCTAACTTTGAAAGAAATGTTTATACCCTGACTAGCCTTGGAAGCGAGAAGGTTTACCGTATAAGTGCAGTTTCTTTAGAGGACTTTTAGCCTAAAACACTTGCTATCATGGTGACTCGAAGGGGGGGGTATATTCAGTGGATGCCTTACTTGGAATACTCCTCTCTCCAAGCTTTAAGTTCGTTAAGGATGTCTTGTTTGCTCGCTGCTGGTTCCGTGTCGTCCTCAAAGCTTTTCTCAGGCGTGTAAAGCCGTGGACTTTCGAGAAACGTCATAACAGGCATCTTGGGCGTTTTCAAATCCTGCAGCATATAGCGAAATTTTTACGTCAGCGTCAAAACTAATCCGACGTTGAGTAGGTATAGTTTTCAAATGCTTTGAGAATTGAGGAGAAAACCCGCGCCATTTTCTCGACCAATCAGATGCTGTACTCTAGAATCAATTGTGGCCTTGTTATCCACACTCTCTCTCAAGTGTAGCCCGTAACAGAAGTTTTAACTTACGTTCCTGCTGTTCCGACATGATATTTACCTTTGTTATGACTGGCAGCAATGATTACTTTGGCTTTCAGTGATTTTAATACACTAAATTGAAAAGTACTTCAAAAGTAAAAAGGAGAGGCTTTTATCGGTTATGAAGAACCGGAAATTTGAATTCCATGAAGTAGTTCTGATTTTGTTACGTAATACACAAGCAAGAAGAACATTCACAATTATGAATTTTCCTGCTCTGTTACCTTTTGTCTTGACTTAAGAGCTCGTGAAATATTTCCACAAATAACCTGACTGGAACCTGAAAGATGTAAGAGATAACACAATGATTTTAGAGAGCATCACTGCTACCAATTTTACCCATAACAATACTCCCATCTCAAAACTTGAGATTTAAGAATCCTTTTTTCACAGCTTATGCAACAATTGGATGGAAAAAGAAAGGAATGTTACCCCAGTATAGTAACGTTGACATCATCATCAAAGAGTATCCTGGAAAGAACCAACAGTGCAACAGCTGGCAAACAATTGCAGACTATAAGCCAATTCATCTCCCATTAATTACCACCAATACATTACCAACACCTAAATTCAGCATGTTAAGGAGATATAAGATTCAGATCAGACAAGGCACTAACCATGAGTAAGATCACTGCTGTCATCCTGGCGAAACACTCCAATAGGTTCAAGGCCTCCTGAAATACAAACATCAGTTATAAAGTTTTTGACACTGCAAGTGCAATATTGACCAATTTTTGTACTAAAATATCTTAACCAATGATTTGATCTCCCAGATAAACAGATGATTCCTTGGAAAGAAATGTATTTCAAACCCTTTAACCCTTTACAACCTAACATCGGTATGCATATTCTCCATACTTTAATTGATACATTTCTTAATATACTGACGAGAAGAATTTGTTTAACAATCAAGAGATTTTTTAAGTGGTGATTGTTTTCTTTATTGGCATGACCTTAATGTGTGATTAAAGATGACATTGTCAGAAGTTAGATACTGGTCACTCTTAGGGGTTGAGGGGCGAAAACATGGCTCCCCTTCAGTTCAAGGTAGGTGCTCTAAGTGTTGCAATGCTTGTTGTCTTTGTGTGGGAGTGAAGGGCATTGCCAAAAACCACAACACTATGACATGGTTAGGGCTTGCATGCAAACCAATAGGAGTTCCAGTGCATGATTCCCAACATTGCTGCTAGGAAATGTGGATTAAAAATTAATACACTTTTTTTACCAGGCTAAAGAACAAAGGTCTGTGCATTTAGTATCTCTCACCTCCTGCAGAGCCAGGCCTCTGACCCATGGCACTGGATGGTCTCTGCCGTGATGCAGACATTGGGCGTTGTCTGGTGGACATGGCACTTGAGGGTCTGTTTTGTCTTGATGTACCTGCTGCTGAGCCTGGTCTCACCAAGTCAGCTGTTAAAACAGATCAATACTAAATTTAAAAGTTTTACTCTCTCTAGGGAAAGAAATAAAATTTGACAAAGTGTTATTACCAAGAATTGGATAGTTAACTAAGCAAGCAATGCATGGTTCCGAACATGTACTAACTTGACAAAGAGTGGAATTTGTTTGGGAAAGGATAGATTTGTAATTCATTTAAGACTGCAACTGATGCATGAGTAACCATAGCTAAATTTGTGAAACTTATCATCAGGGTGAAGGATTGTTTTGTTATTTTGATCAGTTTTATGACTGAAAGACAATCCTGGGCTGAGACTTATTACTTTCAAATGATCCATTGTTAGTGATAAGAAAAAAGAAAAAAAAAAGATTTTCTTGAATGACGTGAAAGGTTGGTATCCAAAATGCTTGTTCAATCCTCTTTTGGCTTGTGATACAAACATTTTTCAAAATCCACATCAGTTGCAAGGGGGAAAAAATGAAGTTTTCTAACCATAAAGATTCACTTTTATAACTATTATCACAATTATAAACATACATGGATTGTCCTCCTCTTCCTCAACATCAACTGCTTTGATTCCCTCATTGACCAGCTGCCAGTCTTCTTTGAGATGTTCTGGAACCTTGGTAGCTCTGTGTGATGCTGGTGGCTGCCGCAGCACAGGCTTACCATCAACTTTTTCCACCAAGAAAGGTTCATCATCCAGTGTTTTAACATTTGGAACAGCTTTGTGGATTGCACTACGATAATCATAGCTTTGTAACTCCTGAAAATTAGGCAAATTTATTCATTGAAATAAGAGTAGAAGCATCAATGTGAAGGGATTGTATGTTCCCCTTTCACTTCTCTCTCTCCTCAGAACAACTAGGAAGAGTTTGTCATAATATCTATTGTGGTTCCTAGTAAATGATTATCCAGAATTTTCTCCCCTTTTTATTATTATCTCAATACAAAATACAGCAAACAGTTGACAAGACAAGGTAAACTTGTCAGGTAGAGGGTAACACCTTAGCAGGACAACTAATTTCTACCTCTTTAAAAACAAAATTTATGGCAGCAGGAAGTGGGAGGGGGGTTTCCCATTAGATCTCTCTAGGAAGTTAAGGGATGAAGAGAATGGTTCATTTTTACTACTAGCATGTCCATTACTTCCTTTACTTTGTGAGTACAGACTGAACAAGTAAAATGTTTGTGTATACCAGTGCAGAATTGCCTTCTGTGTTTAAGTGGCAATCCACTGCATACATATCATACTGTTTTGGGCTGTTTTCTTTTACTACATCTCAATGAATTGAACCATGGCTGGAAAACTTAGGGGGTTTCACACAACTTACAGTAAGTAATAAATGTTGAAACTAAGTGCCATACAGCACTTTTTCAAACCAAAACTACTGGTATTGATCACAAAAGTCAAAGAAACAAAGCCAAAGAAACCTCTAAACCAGTAATAAATAGATACTTAAGAATGGCTTGAAGCATAAGGTTACATAAGACTATTTATCTGATAAGGGTGGTACTAACTTTATTTACTAATGAGACAGAATAGTAATAAAAGCAAACCAAGGGAAATCCAAACAACTATCACATATATCTATAACACAAAATTAAAAATTTTATAATAAAATCATGTAATACACACCTCTGATGATGCTAAGGGTTGAGGGGCTGTACAAATTGGGTTTCCCTCTAGTGTCAAGATCTTCAGTGACGAACACAGACATAAAAATTCCACCTGTGTGATGTCACTAACATTGTTTCTGAGGATATAATAGCACAAAGAGTTCCATCAATGTCATTTATAATGTCTCAGATAGCACAGTGTTTCCCTTTAAAGAACACTAGGAAATGCTTTTCCATGCTTTGTAACGTAAAAAAATTCATTGATGTAAACACTTTTTAATAAGAGACCCTTAAACCTCATCACCAAGCACATTATGTACTAATTGACTGTATGGGAGGACCGAATAGGAAAATATTTGGCTTAAGGTCATGACGTGCAGACCAAGAGCCAAATATTTATTTCCAGCCCTTACCAGGCTCAGTTGCTAAGCATTTTATCATATAACTACTAAGTGTTAAAAATTTAGAAAAATTTTGTTTCAACCCAAATAAGATGCAATAGATGGACTTTTCCATTGTTTCTTTGAGTCAGAGCAAGAAACTCACAATTCATCATCCTTCAAGTTTTTTAACAATGATGTGTGAGAGCAGTACTGGGACATCAACCTGTGCAGCACTACACATGTCAGCTTTCCTTATAGTTTTCTATGGGATTATTCCTACAGAGCTGTAATGATTGTGTATAAAATACAAATTCTAAAGGAAACTTCACATATCTCCTGTCTCCCCTACAGTTGTACTTCGAGGGGAGAGACTGAGATAAAACAGTCAAAAACAAATTTTGATTGCGGAGGGGTGAAATGTGAATCAAAATCAAGTATCTCCAGATTTCTGATTTTCCATAGGTTGGCATCTTCAATTACTACTAATGCTAATTCCATTTTCTACAGCATGAAAAGGCTAAGGGTGTTGCTACTCCATGAGGAAAGGATACTTGTCCCACTGCAGGTAATCCACATTATTTTGCTGAGTTAACCCTCCAATAACATTTTTCTAGAGTTCATAAATAAGCCTTTAAACAACCCTCTAAGTATATGGAAGAACTAAGAGCCTTATGCCCAAAAACATGACACAGTGACCCCAACAGGGATTATACCCAGGGTGCTTCCCTGTGTAATCCACAAGCCAACCACAGGTTGTAATTTCTACAACTTAAGAGAAAAGATATGGAAGTCAAAATTAAGCGTATCTGACAGTAGACTTATTAAACCTTGTGTGATAGAGTGTGATCTTGATGCTGTAACAAAAAAAGACCCAAGTTTATTTTCTGTTTTTTCTTACCCCTCCAAGTCTAAAATCTCCAGCTGGTCCAACATGCTGACTGGGCTGACATCCTCAATGTGATTAAATGCCAAGTAGAGCTCCTACAATCAACCAGAAATCTTGTTTAATTAATTTATTTAACAACTCCATCACACAGTTCCTTGGCACAATCAAAAGTCTTTTCTAGGTTTCATATGCAAATGAAAGGGTTTTTTTAAAATAGTCTTTGATGGCTGATTAATGTTCTCTGGCACAAACCAATAGAAAAGGTATGATTCATAGGTAAAAAACAATATGGATAAGCATTTGCTTTTTCAAGAGTTGCCCTCACAAGACTAGCAAATGCTATGTTCAATCCTTTGAGAAAAATTCATGCAATTAGGATTCAATTGCATCCAAAGGATGTAAGTTTTGAGGGAAAGAAATAATGGTCTAGAAGAAACCAGTTACTATAACTGGTAGTTAATACTCTTAAACCTTTTCAACAATTTTCTGGGAGCCCCATGGATTTGCTGTTTTTGTCTCAGCTTGCAAGAGAGTAATTTACCTTTAATGACGAGACTGAACTAATTCCATCCAAATCACTGAGCCCAGATCTTGCAAGCCACAGAGTTCTCAAATTAGTCAAAGATGTACCAAGGTCTCTATGCAAACACCAAGAAAACAACATTAGCAAGACTTATAATGGATGAGGAATCTGTATATTTTGAAGAAAGCTACTTGGTGTACATATTGACTCTTTCAATCCCATGGATGATCAAGAGGTGATTCCTCAAGCAGAAAGGCCACAAGAATAAAGAAAAATATCAACAAAAGAATGTCATTTGATTCAACATCAAATTCTCAAAATTAGCATGACAATGTATTATTAATATGCAAATGTTAAAGATTCATCTAATAACAAACTTTCATTTCATCTCTCATCATCAATGAGGGACTGGCAAAACTAAGAGCTATCTTACCTTACTGTGGCTATAAGGCTGTAAGACAACTTAAGTTCTGTCAGGTTAGGCAGGAGAGCTCCTAAAGCCAGAGAAATAAAAAGGTGCCTTTCTTTATGGACAATCTCTTGCAAATGTTACAGTATACCAGTTTTTCGAAATTTTGTGAGGTAAGCAAGTAAAGAAAATATCAAGATATCTATTGGAAGATGGATCCCTGAAAAATTCCAAGTGGAACAGTGTGTCAATGGAAGCCAAAACTTTGGGATAAAAACTAAAATCAAAACTGGAATTTCTAAGGTCATGGGAATATGGAATACATGTATGTCTGATAAAACAAATAAAATCTAAACTTTATTCAATAAAAGAACACACACAATACCCAGACAAAAATGTTACATTGCTGTTTATGACATTATTAAGATACCTGTAGTACATGCACCCTTATTGGTCAATTGATGAATTTGGATACGAGTATGTAAACATGGTTGTGACATCATGCTTTTTGTGTTTTTAACAACACAATTGAAAAAATTTCAAACTCAAAGCTTTTGCAACACTCTCAAAGTAATTTCAAGTACAAATAACAAATATTGGAAATAGAGATATTATTTTCTTCCTCCTAAGCCTGTCTTTATGATTGTGAGCTGGACAACCTTGTTGAAGGAGCTCAAGTAAGGGTAACAAAATGTGCAACAAAATGCACAGTAAACATTTTCTTATGTAATTTTAACAGTTAAGAACAGTGGTAAAATCTTCTACAAGACATTCTTTACTACAAAATGTTCATGAAAACGCACATCAAACTATATGTCACAGTCTGGAAATGTCTCAAAACAAACTTCACAAAGATGATCAGTCGCCATATTTTGGCTTTCAAATTTTTAAACATGTAATTTCATAATAAATTGACTCACTTTTCCTGTCAAAAGTTTGTTGTTGATGAAATTTGTGATACTTCCACTTACCAAAATTTCCTAAACTATTTTCCCTTGTATCAACTCTCATTTCAAGGTATTCAACTTGATCAAGATTCGAGAAACCAGTCAAGGATCTCTACATAAACAAAGAAAAGGTACAAACAAGTGTTAATAAATAATGTTTTATCACCAAAACATTTTTCAAACTCTGCAAGTTAGCATTGCCTTTATGGCAGAGTTGACAAAAATATCTAAAAGACCAAGAGATGTTAAATGAAAAGAAGTGTTTTTCCTTATCTAATTCCCAAGCCATAAACTAATAACAGAGGCCTTTTTTACTGGCTTGACTATTCTCTGTAAGTGTTGCTCAGGTTATTAATTCTTCTGTGGATAATTATATAATAATAGTTTGGTGAGCTGTCACCATTTACAGCCACTCTCACTCCAATTCAGTAATGACTGCAGTAGGAAATGAGAAAAAGTGAAACACAAGAGAAAAGAAAAAAATTGTCAACAAAAGCTATGGTTGCATGTACTCACAAGTTTAGATGGTGACAGAAATTCCTCTAACAACTGATCTGCCTCCTCCTCATCTTGTACTATTGGTTCAGGGTTGGCAGTAGTGTCATCAAATTCACGTATTCTTACGGAAGAGATGGTTCTTGGGGCAGGCAGCATGTGTTCAACTTGTTCCAGGGTTAGGGTTGTGTCTTCCATTCCTAGTCTAAATATCAAAATATCACTTTGGTACAATTCAGTTCAATACTCTGCTATCTACTCTCCAAAGATGTAACATGAAGCTTATGACCAAATTTTTTTTTACAAATGCTGAAATCTTTGGATAAGGAAACTTTAATAGCAATAGAGGAGTGATCAATAGATTCTGAAAATATCTGTGCCATTTTCAGAATAAGCAGTTTTGTGAGCATAAGAAAAAAAGTGCATGTTCACTTTTGAAAAACAACGGAACTAGTTTAGCAAGGACTGTTACGAACATGTTTTCTTCAAAAACAGTCAATGACCTTACCAAAAGTATTATTCACTCTCATTGACGATTAATCAATGTACAAAGATTTACCTCTGTTCATTAAGTAAATGGCAAGGAAAGTAATTGTAAGTAAATTCCAATGTTTTATTTTAATTGTGAATATATGAATCTAGACATTGATAAATGAGAGGCCTGGACTGGGTACGGACAGGGTGCAAGTTAGTACTTTCCCTTTTCTGTAAGATTGAGCAATTTGTTCAGCATATATGTCATAAGACTTCTGTTGAGCCAATGGCTATTCACAACACTAACGCATTTTAATTGCGAAATTACTGTAGTATTACCACTTTGGTATTTGTGCACTTGTTATTGGTAACCTTGCAAGCAAGCAAGCAACAAGTTTATTTCTAGCATTAACCCATCCACACCATAGAGAGTTTTGATTGTATCTCAATGTTATTCGTGTTTGTTATTTATTCTTGATTACTGAACCATTGGTTTAGTGTATTCGTCCAATATCTTTGTTATGTAATAGTCTAGTGTGTTATTTACATAGGATATATACATTTAATAAACTGTCTGGTCCCAAAACAAACTCTGTCAGTTGTGGTGTTTAGTTGTGAGAGTTTGCTCATTTGTTTGCTGCAATGGCATGTGTAAATCTGGTCCTTCCTTCACAAAAACTCAATGTAAATGAGACACTTCAACTAGACACAAGGAGATTTAATGTGTGGCTTTTTCTCATTGAATTCCTTCAGTTTCTGTTTTGCAATTTTTGGTGCAAATGTCCAAATTGAATGGACTTGGAAAGACTCACCAAAACCATATTTGTAGTAGAACTGAAAACTTCACTTGCCTTTTCACTACAAATAGATTGTTTGAGAGAATTCAGATAATAAATGAATGAAAGTTCCATCACTTAATTTGATTGTAACCACATACCTCATGTTTTAACTTTCAAGGTACTTTTTGAGAAGGATTAAAACTAATTAAAGACGGTTTTTAAGCTGCTTGTCAACCAAGTTAATGACACTTTTGCTTAGAGAAGTTAATTTTGAAAGCAATATTTTCCTGTCAACCAAAGTGATTTCGGAGAGAGAAAAGAGAGTATTTATAAGTTATTTCTCAGCTTGGGGTAGTGGCCAATGACTTTACTTAAAAATACTGCCAGGCCCAAAAAAAGAGATACATTTGTAATAAATGGCAGCAAAGGTAGGGATGTACTTGGCAATCACAAAATTGTTACCTTGCCTGTGGGCAGAGATAGGAAAATACAGACTGCACTAAGATCCAATCAGATAGCAGGATTTGTTACCGTGCCCTCTGAGAAAAAATAAAATTTGTTACTTTTTGGGGTTATCAATTTCAAAAAGCAAATTCTTTTTCAGAAAGGAAACATTGGAAGTTTTAAAAACCCTTATTGAATTACAAAGAAAAAATCTCAAGAACCAGATTTAGACAACCAAATTGTTTCTTCTATTGACTGAAAAGAATGTTCACTTGCTACCTGGCCACCAACTTAGAACCCTTTAAACTAGAAAAATTTTGATCCTGAGAGTGCCTAACAACATACCTAAAGATTACATGTGAGTGACCTTGAAGGTTCCAAAGGTTCCAACAGAACTAATAAAACATCGCCAGAAATTGAAACTGTTATCAATTAAAACAATAGGATTTCATAAAACTAAACTTGCGCGCAGATATTTGTTTACACTGCAAATGATGGCGTTGGCGGAGACGTACATAAATATATTGTTAATAATTATGAACCATCAGCCATGTAATGGTAAAAAAACGTTCTTTTTAAGTAAAATAACGTCCCATTCAACAAAAATCTGAAATTGTAGGAAATACATACACCTAGATCATCTTACACCATATGGATGTCACGATTTAGATATCCCTTAAATGAGAATAGTGTGGCGTGCATCGGTTGCCATCGTTGTCAACCAACGTTGTCAACTTACCTTTTTCCTGGATACGCCGATTGTTCCTCAATACAAGCCATGGAAAAAAAGATTTCTTTAGGCTATTTTCTCATGGAAGATCCAAAGGGATGCTTAGACAGGAATTCATTACACTCTGGATCGTCAATCTTTATGTATATATAATTATCAATCAGTCTCAATCGGACAAGCCCGCCATTTTGTATGCACAGTAATGCATTGTGGGATTTGTGTTGGTGACAAATCTTAATAGGAGAGAGAGAAGAGTAACATTGAGACCACACAGGATCCCCCAAGCTCACCTTCTTAAAACATCTACAATGATAATTTAAATACCTGGCTCAATACTAGAAGAAAACTAAAACAAATGGCCAGGCTGGCTTAAATGCAATAACAAATTGTCATAAATTTGCAATATCTTGACATAGATGGGAAGAAAGCATGTAGCTTGAGAAAAAATAGAAACAGATTTACAGTGTAAGGTTTAATTCTGCTGAAGTACTGGGCACCTATCATTTTCAATTGTGTAACACCATATGGCCATGCACCCCTTAATTATCTGTTCAATCTCTGTGATCCTTCATACCTTACTATCAGTATTAATTTTCTCCATACTGTTCTCTTTCCTTTACTTATGGTATCGACAAGGAGAATTTGTTTGACAATCAAGAGCTTCCTAAATCATTTATTGTTTCTTCCATTCTCATGATCTTTTCATCAGATTCAAAGGAGATTCTGTAAGGAGAAATTGGAAGTAAATCCCTCTTGTTTGATAGTAACCCTAACGGAAATAACCTGCATGATGTTTTACCATCAGTAATATCACCTAGCAGGAAATTCAAGCACCAACATTGCTTATACTTTATTCCAGTTTTTTAACAGATTGGTTCTTTGGTTCTCCTTTCCATTGATTTCGGTGAATATCAGTATTGTGCAACAATTTCATCAGTTTACACCAACTTCTCTCAGGATTTTGTAAGATTCTGATTCAAATTGCAGCAGTCAGCTTTATTTGACTCACAGAATGGATACTGAAAAAAAAAAAACTTGACCAAGTAATAAAAAGGATGCACTTGTTCTCATTCTGCTTTTACATTTAACAAAAATGCACCAGGGGAAGCATTTCAAAAATTTCAGAAATAAGTCTTGTTACTGATATTTTAATCATGAGAGTAATCAACCAAGACTGAAAGTGAGATCAGAGACTTACCAATTTATCTTTGCAATTAGTAAGTCAAGCTAAGGTGGTAGGTAGAATGGCAGGTTATTTCTAAAACCACAAAAAATTCATGCTACATGGTAAATAAGCTAAGCTTACATAAATAGCAAAATTGAATTGGTTAGCCCCTGAAAACACTTTATTTCTCAATCAATTTCTCACAAAGACAGTGCAACTCATATATGACACAAGATACTGTACTTTGGTTTTATTTACTGAGATAATAATGTAAATTTGGCCTCCATTGAAAGTTTTTTTTATTAAAGCTGATATTATAATCAGGACACAATAGGCATTAAGAAGAGATTATTTTCTTGGTATTAGCCTATCTAGAACACAGTCGAGTTAAGTAAACCAGTTCAAAGGCAGATTTATGGTGGGAAAAATCACCTGAAACTATGTTTGAGCTAATAAATTTCACATTATGTATATCTTCAATAGACATAACTTGTTGAAAATTAGCAACTTGTGTCAAAAACTATCTGAACTGAAGTACAGGTAAGTTCCTAGGCTAATTCCTGCACTTAAGATAAGAACTTTTATTCAGTAGCAGGAGGTTATCTAGTGCTTATGAAATTAAGTTACACTTATTATTACTTGTTTTGAGCATTCAAAGTTAGTTGGTAATGATCTTTTTCCCACTGAGTTGTAGATTCCATAAAGCTTCTGATGGACCATGCAGTCAGCTAGCTAAAACGTTTGAAGTTCCTCACACACATATAATTTTATTATTAATCTTTGAGCATTCAAAGTAAGTTGGTAATGATCTTTTTCCCACTGAGTTGTAGATTCCATAAAGCTTCTGATGGACCATGCGGTCAGCTAGCTAAAACATTTGAAGTTCCTCACATACATATAATTTTATCAATCTTTGAGCTCTCAGATTGTTTAGCTGTGAGAGTACAATGCTGGAAAATGTAAATCACTCTAACTTTTAATATAATATTACTATTTACATCAAACACCATCCATGCACAAATCCATGGGACGGGAAAATAAATTACAAGAAGCAAACCACAAAATGAATGTTTCATGATGTTAATCATCATCTTCTGGTGAGAAAATGTCATTCTCTTCCAGCCACGCCGCTCCTTCACGAGAAATTATGCCTCCCACGTATAAAAATGGAATCACAACACAGGTGACTTTTACCAATCCAAAGCGCTTACTTTCCGGTTTAGAGAGAACTGCACCACTGGTGGAACATGTGGAAGTACTCCTCATTAAAGAGGTAACATGATGATGATGAAGAATCCTCGCTGAACGTATCCACAACCTCAACATGGTGGCTGACGTGAAACTACATTTAAATAAATAAAGTGAGGCAATGACTTAGATGGACTTCCAGTGGAAGAACCAAGGTGTTAATTACACAACAAACGAAATAGCTGGCAATAATGTTTACCAGCAAATAAATGATTACTTTATCCAGTAGATAACTAAACTCAGCACTTACACAACATGGACCAGATATCGATATATATACTTGTAATTGATAAGAAGATGTAAGCATGATGTACATGACTTGTTTTAATTTTTTATGAAAACATCGATCGTTTGACTATGTAAAACATAGAAACTCTCTAGGAGCGATCTCTGTATCATTCTATTAAAATCTGCATCTATTCATAGATGGATGGCTTTACAAGCGGAATGATCTCACTTCTTTTATAAGTTGAATTGTCTGAAACGTTTAACCATCAAAAAACAACTCCAATCATGGATAAGCTAACAATACCAAGTACTCACCTAAAATTAAAATATGTTCTGTAAAGGCGACCAAAATAGTCAAAATATTCGAAATTGTTGATGATAGGATGGAAACCGTAGTCGATGGTCGTTGGGCAGGTGAATCTTGTGAACAGCTACGTGAAGTAGTAGTAGTGCAACTGACCAGTGATGTGCAGACTCTGAGGAGAACAAAAAACACCGCGCATGCACGAGAGTTTGAAAAGGATGAGAGAGATTTACATGTCTATCACAAAGCAAAGAAGAAAAGATTAAGTCCCAACTATTCCAACCAATGCGTAAGACAAATGAAAGAAGGGTTTTGGAGGAAGATAAAATCTTGGTCTTAAATTATTGTGATATATCCAAACTGTTTTAATGCAGACGCTTCGGAGGCAAATGACAAAACCTTTCTTAAACCTGTTATCGTTATTGTCACAAATATTTTGTGTGGCTCTGGTTCTTCCTTTTTAACACAATCCTCTCGGTGTTGACCAGCAACTCCACCATGAACACAGTAAAGAATGACTATTGCCAGCACAACCAAGCATACGGACGACTTAAACTTCATCACGCCGCCGTGCAAAGTGTTAAAAAAGAAGGATGAGGTAAACTAGCACAAAATGGATAAATTTAAGAACGACGTTGTGTATAAGTCTCGGACTTAGAAACTTCGAACTTTCCTTAGAAACTACGAAAACCTACGTCTCACCTAGATTCTCTATGTTTGTAATGACCAAGTGTTATTCTAAGTACGCATCAGCTGTCATTTGACCACTGTAGTCCCTCTGTTTCTTCCAAGCCAACTCCCTACTCCCTGGCCCCTGATTTCCTAGCCTGCAGAACAAGCCTAATTTTAGTTTGCGTTTTAAGGCGCGCAGAGGCAAGCATGAGGCGATTGCAAAGCGTGAGTCACATACACGGGGAGGAACGGGAAAAAAATTGCGTCCTTTTCCTCGAACGCAAATCACGCTAAAAAAAGGTAATAAATAATACGCCTGTTCTGTAGGCTTTTGACTCAATGGGGCCTTTAGGAAAGACAGTACATTCCGCTCGTTATTGATTAACTAATAAAATATCTATACAAGAGTTATGTTTCCTCGTCATATTAACAATTATTTAGCTCACGGGGAAAGCCATAATACAAATGAAAGTGTACTGACACTTCAGACTCCTTCGATTCAAAATGACGGATGAGAGTTAGAGAGGCAAACTATGAAAGCAATTTTACTGCACAGGACATTTATGACCCATTTGTCGTGGATATAATTTGAAAATTCATTTGCACCCAATACATATACTTAAGACATAAAAGACAGGCAAACCTTTGCATCGACAGTCAAATGTTTCATAGTTCTATCTACTTAGCTGACAAAAATAATATATAGATTTAGCCAATCCTAAAAGCGGAGCTCTTATTAGTTTATTTTCCAGCCCTACGTTGCACTGAATAAAAACTGTAATAAAACTATCTACTGGCAAGTCTTTGTATTATATTTCAACCCAACCATTTCTCTCTTGAAGAATCTCGAAACACACGTTGCTCGTTTGATTTGATCATAACTAAACCAAAGAAAAAAGCTTGTCTTCATACCTTCTGCTTGAAGTGTTTAGGGAGACACGCCTTAACTATACAAAGAAGAGGAGAAATCGATGCTCCTAGGGTCGGGAAAAACTGAAATGGAAATGCCAGAGAGAACTCAGTTTTATAAATTTATAACCTTTTTTCTGCCTAAACAGTTTTTAACTCTTCTCGCTGTATGAAAAATTGGCGTCGGAAGTCAGACAAGTTGAGGCATTTTGAAGAAAATGAGCGCTGAAATCAGCTGTTTCTTCGCAAAAAATTGCTGTGTTTGTGGTGACCGTTAGAATGCACTCGAATTAATTGTTCCGAAAAATTGCTTCTCACTGACTCGGACGACGGCTCAGCTAGGAAAGAAGACCTCTCAGTTTGTAGTCTAACTTAGTCATTGTTGGTTGCCGATCGCGGTTACCGTGTGGTGAACATCGGAAGATATGGTTCCTTACCTTAGTTTCACGACGGTGAATTACGAGCGAATATTAATTTACTCATTTGATTAGCAATCATTCAGTCTCAGGGAACTTTTCCGGCTCTCAAATTTGAGAGGGATAAATGCCACGGGGACTAGGGTGGTAGCCATTTGCATCCTTTGATGTGGGAGTTATTGGAGAACGAATTTTGCGGATCAAAGTACTGAAGAAAAACTCCAAACCTCTCCCTACAGCGA